TTTTTTTTTTTTTTTTTTTTGGTTTTTTGAGACAGGGTCTCACTATGTAGTTGAGACTGACCTGGAACTCACTATGTAGCCCAGGCTGTCTTGAATTCACAGCGATCCTCCTGTCTCGGCCTCCCAAGTGCTGAGATTAAAGGCGTGCACCACCATACCCAGCTGCACTATACACTTTAAAGAGTGTGTTATATGGTTTGTGAATTATACCTCAATAAAGCCATGTTCTTAAAAAAGTGTACTGTGGAGAACTCAGAAATCCTACAAAGCAGGTCCCCATATTTTTTATACGAAATCCACAGAAGTAGCAGCTCTGTGAACACAGGTTAGAAAAGCTATCCAAATCATTGCCTCTTCCTAAAAAGTCAGGGGAACAAAACTCACAAGCAACAGAGAAGAACTAAAGTCCTTTTGAAGTCCTCTCAAAGTAACTATTAGAAAAGTATAAGATGCATAGTGACATCCCCCTCAACAATAAAAATAGGCTAGGTGTGGTAGCACACACCTATAATCTCAGAACTTGGCTGAGGCAGGAAGATCTCTGAAAGTCAAGGCCCAGCTGGGCTACATCGTGAGTTCAAGTCCAGCCTGAGCAACATAGCAAAACCCTTTCTCAAAAACAAACAGAGCCAGGCATGCTCGTGATCCCAGCACTTGGGAGGCTGAGGCAGGAAGATCACTGTGAGTTGGAGACCAGCCTGGGCTACATAGGGAGTTTCAGGTCAGTCTCAACTATATAGTGAGACCTTGTCTCAAAAAACAAAGCAAAACAAAAAAGAAAAAACCCAAAACAAACGAACAAGGGCCAGGGATTTAGCTCAGTGGTTCTGACGCCTGCCTTGCAAATGCAAGGTCCCAAGTTTGATCCCTGGCACAAAAACAAAGAAACAAACAAAATAAATAAATAAATATTTTTAAATTGGCTAGAAAAATATGCAACATGCCCCCCAAAATATCAAACCTGACATGTTCCATTTCATAGTACACTAAAAGCACGGGGGAAAACAACAGAGAATATCTTAGGAAGCGAGAGAAGAAAGGATTGGAATCAAAGAACTGGGTAGTAAAGAATGAATTCGAAGGAACAATCCCATCCTCCCTGTCTCAAATCTCAGCAGTTTTCCCTACAACCCAGACCCAGCTCTGAGAAGGGCAGGTGCACGCTACAGGGGACGTGGGTCGGGGCCTGCACACAAGGACTAAGAGCTAAGAAAGTGACAAAAAAGAATACTTTTAAAATTAGAAAAAAGACATGGAAAAGACTCGGGACGCTGACACTTGCCGGCCGGAGACAGGCAGGCAGTGTGCTGGAGTCTGACCGACACCCGCAGTTCCTGTCTCGCCCAGGGAGCTCCTGCAACCTGCCTCCCCGTGCGGAGTGAGAATGAGCACTGGAGGCAGCCCCGAGGTGACAGCAGCCCGGGCCACGCCGCTACCTGGAGAGACTGTCCAGGGCCTGTATGAAGGGGTCCATCCCGGAGACGTCCTTCCCAGGGCTTTCCATGAGAGACATGGTGGCGAGGACCACGTCACTGGCCAGGAACTTGTGCTTAAAACCAAAATGGATGCTGAACGTCTGTACACGCACGTCCTTCATCCTGTCGTGAGAGGAAGCAACGGGGCTGTCACACTCAAGTCATGAGCCGGCTCTCTTGGGCAGGACCGGACAGCAGATCCCCTCAGGTCCCTCACAGATCCACAACAATGCTCTCATTGTGATCCTCTGCTCAGAAGAGGCGGGTCAGGATACCCGGTCATAAGCAGCCTTTGGGCCTGTGGTGTGGGCATGGCGGTGTGACCTGCTGCAGCACATCAGCGGCCAGGGCAAGAGTAACCAGACACAGGGGCTTCAGTAGCACCCAAAGAGCTGGCAAGGGGCCGGGGGTTTTGGCTCAGTGGTTCCGCTGCCTGCACAAGTTCAATCCCTGATACCAAAAAAAATCAGGCAGAGCTCACCTAAACCTGGCCCTGGTGGTTCGTTTCCTGGCAGTCCAATGAGAGAGGGGATGGGTTGATCTCACAGGACCGCACTACAGTCCAGGACTTAAGGATCCTAAGATTTATGGGCGTTTTAAGAAAGTCTATTTTTTTTTTTTAATACCTAGGATGAAACTCAGGACCTTTTGCTTGCGAGGCAGGTGTGGCACCACTGAGCTAAATCCCCAGCTCAAGAAATTCTTTTGGTATTAGGGATTGAACTCAGGACCTTACACTTGTGAGGCAGGCGTGGTGCTACTGTGCTAAATCCCTGGACCAGAAATTCTATTTTTTACACTTGATCTTAGCCAAAAGGCCGAGAAGCGATCAGAAATTCTATTTTTTACCCCAAAGAGAAGACAAACATTCAGAAATGACCAAACTCAGGTCACGCTTGAACATTCTTGGGGTTCTTCATTTCTCTTCACATTGTTTTATGAGGACAGTTAAAGCAGAAGACCTAATTTGAAAACAGCTGAACCCAGAAAAAAATGTGTTTACCCAAATTTATTTGCAGACTCTTCAATCATTTCCCGCAAATTCTCCTTCAAAGAGATGTCCATAGACTGAAACTTCTGCTTCACCTGTTTCAGGGGAAGCCTGAAAAACACAAGTGTCGGTCACATGAATGAGGGCACAGAGAAAGTGAACAGAATAGAAAGAAGCCTGCAAGCAGCGTCACCACATGGCCACAGAGGGCTGTCCGAGCACGGCGATGGCGAACCTCTCAGAGACAAGTGCCCAGACTGAAACCCACTTCCTTCTCACGAAGTGCCAACGACGTGATTCAACCTGAATGCCGAGGTTTTAGTGTAGAAAAAACAACTCATACGTTAACATCTTTTGTCTGAGAAGAAAAACAAACAGCACGTGTGGCACAGGTTCGCCAGCACCGTGGACCAAGCACGTTTACTCAGCTGACATTCTGGGATCAGGAGGGGAGGAAGTGACAAAGGAACGGGTAGCAGCGGCATTTTCACAGCTCTGTGAGCTACAACAAAGCAGAGGGGCATCTCCACGGAAGGCTGGGAAGGTGCAGACCTGCAGGCCCGGGCAGTCACTCACCCCATGTCTGCAAGAAACTCCTGAAGCCGCTTCTGCCCATGCACGGACCAGAGCTTGAACCTGGCTGAGGTGTAGCCGGTATTGCACAGACTGTCATAGAGGGACCAGTGGTGGTAGAGAGCCAGGCAGAGGCTGGGCCCAAGGTCAAGGAACAAATGTGGTGTCCGACGTCCACCCGGAGCCGCAGGGACCCGCAACCTCGGCAGTGCGCAGCCTCGCCCAGTCCTCAGCAGATGGCCTTGCTGTCCTTTCGGACCTGCCCTGAGGGGCTTGCTTGCACAACCAGCAAGATCGAACAAGGGCGATCTGGAGCAACTGGAGCCTCGCAGAGAGCCTGTGAGGTGCTGGGTACTCACCACTTCCCCTCTGATAGAGAAACTGAGGTCCACGGGTGTGGCAGGACCCTCTGCTACGGCCATGGTGAGTGGTCACGGCCACACAGGAGGTAGAAGGCTGGAAATTCCCAGGTCAGGCTGCCGCACTGTTCTGCTCCTCCCTGTGCCACCTAGCCCAGCCCAGCTACCACCTATCCTTTTAAGAGCCCTCTAGGACACCACCCACGGCCCTCTGACTGAGGCTGTGAGCACTGACAGGCCCCACAACAGGCCTCTGCTCCACAGGCGGACCCTGCTGTTTCCCAGTCACGCCGGCACCTTGCCACTGCTCCTCTGGTGTCTCCTGTCCTCACTGCGTTCCCCCACCCCGGCTATGTCCCTCGCGGGCTGCCATCTTCCCAGCCTCGACTCAGCAGTTTTCCTGCTCTTAGCAGGGCAGGCACACTTTACAGGGGAAGCTGGGCGAGAGCCTTTACGGAAGGACCAAGCAAAGAAAGGATACTCATACTCAAAGGAGATCCGTGTGCAGTCCACAGAGAGGGTGTTCTCCCCGTCTTCGTTCCGGTGGCTGTGCCGGGACACGTGGCGCTGCAGGACGCCAACATCAGTCACATACTTCATTCTGGAAAGAAAGTACCACAGGCTGGGCAGTACCCCCCGCTCCCAGGGGCTGTCCACTGGGCAGGCTGGTCCTGCAGACACCCGAGCAAGCCTGTTGAGCCCTTGCACAGAAATGAAGCAGCTGGGGAATACGAGAGGCCCCCGCTGGGCAGAGCGAGCTCTGGCCTCGCCACCTCCCCTGACGAACAGGCACAGTCAGGCCCACCAGCCCGCGTAGTCGAGTACACAGACCCTCTAACAGACAGGAATCCCCACAGCACAAAGAACAGGCCCACACAGGATAGGACCGAGCACAAGAGGGGTGGGCAGCGCTCTAAATCCCAAAGGGCCGCCGCTCCAGATGGTGACAACAGGGCCTCAGCTGAGGTCACAGGCCAGGGATGGCACCTGGTGTTACACGCACTGCAGTTTCTGGATCTTGTGCTAACCACACATGTGCCCCATGCTACCCTTAATGGGCAAGGGCCAGAGGTACAGCAAGGCAGTTGGCTGGGGCAGCATGGTAGTCCAGAGCGGCCCCAGGTCTGAGATTCGGGTGTCTCAAGCTCCTTGGGCCACAGAGCAAGAGGAAGGCAGGGATAGGGTAGTAGAGGCAGGCTGGGCAGGGGACGGGGCACAGAGGTCTGTACAAACCGCATGAGAAATCTGGTGACCGACGGAAGCTATGATAGCTGACAGCTATGGGTTTCCTGGGACAGGGCTGTTCCTCAGGGTTGATGCCCCTGCCATCTCTGTTAGATGTGCCACTTCATAACCACAAAAGGTCTAACTGCCTTGTGAGGGAGACGGGATAGGAGATGCTACACAGGCCCCTCTCCCCCAGTAGTATCTACAGTGGGGCAGCCTTTCAGCTCATGGTCGGAGTCTAAAACAAGGGAAGCCTGTCACAGCCACCGACAAGCATAAAAGAGGCACTTTCAAAAGTCTCCCTTTGCCTTTGTGATCAAATCTACACTCCCAGGCAAGACACTGAGAGCCCCCGCCACCACCCCCACACTCCCTCCCTCCCTCTACTTACCTTCTTCTGTTTTCCCCTTTAATCCCCACCATCCATGGGCCACACTCCAACACCTGCCTCTAATCCCAGCACGAGAATAAGGGAGATTGTGCTCCCTCTTCCTAGTGATGGCTCCACCTAGTGGACTCTGCAGGGTGACAACCAGGCCAAAGCAAGGCAGACCACTGGCAAAGGTTTGGATACTCGCCCTTCCTCAATAACAGGGGTCCAGCCCAAGGAGGAGTTCAGCCCCTGTGTCTTCTCCATAGGGCCCTACAGTAACACTGTTTCCCACCTCCCCGATGCAAATTCAGGGGCTGTCACTTGGTCACTGTAGAGGGCCAACCCCAGAAAGCAAAGTCACGCGTCCTTACTGGGTGATCCTGTCTTGCACCCACTGGTCCGTCAGTCCAACGATGGCCCACCTGGAGGCAAAGAAGGTGATGAAGCCAGCTGCAGCCACCCAGGCATGAAGGGGCCTGAGGAATGGAGCCAGGAGACGGAAGGGGCAGTGCAGGCCCAGCATTCCCAGGAGCACCTTGCCAGTGTGGCTCCTGGCTTGAGGTGGCCTCCTTACCCAGGATACACAAGTCATGATCTTTGAACTTGTTTTCTATGGTGGTGACATATTACATTTGCATGTTCCATACCAAGAATCAGGGGTTATACCAGGCCAGGTTTTCCCCAGGATGTCAGTTGGGCTTTCAGCACAAGAGCGACAGACAGGCCGGCTGGAAAAAACTACATGGGTCAGACAAGTGCCACCCACCAAGGCACCTGCCAGTGTAAACAAGTTTGCTGTGTAAGGGGCCCCTCGTTACCAATCAGACATTTAGGCAGGTAAAGGAGGTTATCCATGAAAAACAGACTGTAAATACCTAGCTTCCCTCCATTTTCTGTTAGGGCCAGACTGCAGTTAGGGACCCTAAATTAGCTGGGGGAGAAGTCAAAACAACATGGCAGTGGGCCAGAGATTTAGCTCAGTGGTGCCCCACCTGCCTTGCAAGGGCAAGGTCCTGAATTCCATCTCTAGTACCAAAAAAAAAAAGAAAAAACCCAACATGGCAGTGAGGTGTTATGTCTACGACACAGGGCTCCTACCTGACCTGTAGGGGCATTGTAACGAGACTCTGAATGTAGTCCCTAGGTTTATGATTTCCACACTACCGAGGCGGGCCTGAGATCTGGCTGAGAACAGTTGGTGGGTACATGGCAGGGTACAGGGATGAGAGGTAAGGGCTGGCACAGGCCAAAAGACTAGATTCCTTGCATCAAGGCAGACGGAGAACTCCAGGCCTAATGTGAACACTCTGGCTATCCTGAGGTCCTGATTCCATGAAGAATCAGCACCATTACAATCAAAACCGTGGGTGGGTTAGTCAGGAACAGCCACCATAGAATGTCAGAGAGGAAACCAGGACCCTGAACGGAGGACCAAAGCGGTACAGCAAGGCCAGACCCAGGTTCTCATCACTCAGAAAGATTGTAAACTTTTGTTTCTACATCAAACTGAGTTGACAACAACCAGCCTAGGCCTACTGGTCTGTGTGCCAGAGGCCCTGCCTGCAGCCTGCCCAGGGAAATCAGAAGCAGGGACAATTTTCTTTCTCTCTCTGTTTGTCTCTGTTTCTCCCTCCTTCCCTTTTTCTCTCCTCTTTTCACTGTTTGCAGCATGAATTAAACTCAGGGTCTTGCACATGCTATGCAGATTGTTCTACCACTGGGCTATATCCCAAGACTTTTCAAATTTTTTGTACTAACACAGGGTCTTCTTAATTTGCCCAGACTGGGGTTGAATTCATAATCCTTCTGCCTTAGCCTCCCAAATAGCTGAGACTTCAGAAGTGTGCCACCTCATCCACCTTACAGGGATGGTTTTTCTTATCAGATTTCACCACATGCCAGGGCCACACGAAAGCCTAGCAAGGACTGTCTCATTCAAATCTTATGCCCCCTTGGGTGCCTGATTTAACAAGCACAAGGCTAAGAGGCAGCGGCGGGAAAGATGAAAGTGTGCCTGAGCCCTATTCTCCATGCCCCCCGAGTTGGTGTGAAGCACCAAGAACAGCACAGGAAGAAGACCAAGGTCAGGTACCATGGCAGACAGGGTCTGCACCTGATATTCCCAGTGGACACAAGAGAAGACCATACGGCGCTGACTGGGGCTACTGACAGGACTCCCAGTACTAACACTGCATGGGGGCTACGTACCACAGCATGTCGTTCAGGTCCTTGGACAGCATCCATGCCAGGTCAAACATCACCATGGCTGACTGCAAGGAAGCAGAGAAGCCTGAGGGCAAAGGCAACTGCACTTGTGGGAGGTAATGGTAACAGCTGAGCTAGGCAAATGCCCCCAAGCTGAGGCCCTGCCCATCAGGACAGTGGATTCCAGCCAGACATGAGGAACCAAGCCACACTAAGCCAAGGGGAGAAGACAGAATAATTCAGCTGCTCTGCATGTCCTCTGCTATCTTGTCATTATTACCTATGTACATCATCACATAAGAAGGGAAGAATAGGAAGAAACTGCATCCAGCAGGGCACAGGGACCTCGATATATCTCACAGGGTCCCTTGGTGATGCCTAAGGCAGGCCCTGACACCTGCTGGTCAAGAGACCCCACTGTTGGCCTCAGAAACATTCCCAGGGCCAGGTAAGAGAGAGCCCTGGCAACAGTTACTTGAATATTAAAGAGAGGAGCTCGGGATATGGCTCAGTGATAGAAGGCTTGCCTAGCCACATAAGTCCCTGCGTTTGATCCCAAGTACCCCCAAATAAAATTTCCAAAAAACACTAAGGAAGAGAGAGGAACCTCCACATACTGAACAGGCAGGCATAGGGGTGCATGTCTGTAATCTCAGCACTCAGTAAGCTCAATCAGGAGTGTTTGAGGCCAGCATGGGCTACACAGGGAGTTCAAGGTCAGCCTGGACTGCATAGTGACCCCGTCTCAAAAATACACCCCACCAAGAGTGGGAGGGGCCTCAGGACCCTTGTGAAGATGGTCTTCCCTAGAGCGATGTCCACAGACAGATGTATTTAGCCACCTGTGATAAGAGGGATGGGTTTGCTAGGTTGTGAGGGGAAACTGGTGCCTGATGGGAAGACTCTGAAGTCCTCTGAGCCATGAGATGCGGAGCTTCCTCCAGAAGACAGTTTCCAAGGGAAGTATCCACACATGTATCTGGAGAGGGCATCTCATTTGAGCAAATGTCAACACCCTTGCTATCCACTGCTTAGAATTTTGTTTGAAAGGATGAGCAGAGGGCCAATGGAAGGGCCTTCAAAGGACAATGGAACCCTGACAACAAAGGAGACACAGGAAATAGAGTGGTCAGTTCAAGGTCAAGATTCATATTCTAATATGGGATATGTCACTGGAAATTTATTGTCTAGGGCTATTTAAGGCCCTGAGCTCTGCTCAACAATAAGAGTCAACTCAGTAGGTTGTCTACACTGAATTCTGTTCCGTAAAACACACATACCTAAACTGATGTGCCAGTGTAAGTTTAAGAGTTTAACCTTCTTGCACAAAAATGAATACAGATTTGTTCTAAATCACTGATGGACAAAACATAATAGCTGCTGTTCTCCGTGCACATACTGAATGCCTGGGACCATCCTAAAAACTGCTTCTGAAGTGACGATTACAAGTGCTTCTCAATTTATAAAGGAGTTTCGTTCTGATAAACCCACCAGAAATTACACGTATCATATGTTGAAAAATGACTGAGCACACCTAATCTACCCAGCACCTTAGCTGAGCAGCGTCGCACACTGTAGAGAATTGGTTGTTTCTCATCAATCTCCTAGAGGGACCAGGAGCTTCAGCTTGGTATCGCTGCCCAGAACTGCCCAAGCATGTCACTAGCACAGAAAAAGATCAAAATTCAAACTTTTATTTTACTTTATGGAATAAAGTGTTGCCCTATTCTAGAATTTAAAAAAACAAAATAATGCCAAAAAAATAATAACAATAAAGCCAGTACGATCCTTAAAAAAACAAATTAGCCAGGCACAGTAGTGGCATGAACCTCTAGTCCCACCTACTCAGCAGGCTGAAGGATTGCTGGAGACAAGGCACTCAAGTGAGCCTAGGGAACATTGTGAGACAGCATCGCTAATTAAGAAAAAAAAAAATATAGGCCCGGGGATTCCACAACCTGCCTTGCAAGCGCAAGGTCCCGAGTTCAATTCCCAGTACCAAAAAAAGAGAAATAAGGTACAATTTCTACTGAATATGTATTGCTTTTATATCTTCAAAAGCCAAAAATTCCTAAGATACAAGGCCATTATAAGTCTGGAAACAATCTATATTCTCAGATTGTAAAGCTAAGAGGGACTGTTATCACTTTCCCAAGATCACACCATAGGAAGCTGTGAAACTCCAATTCAAACCAGGTTTTTGCGGCTTTAAAATATTTTAGCCCCTTCCTCCTGTTTTAGGACACTGATTATTAGACTCAGAAGTTTATGGTGAATCACACCTATTCATACTTACAGAAGTTCCATGATATTCATACTGCTCATAGTCAAAGAGGATATCTCGCCTGTAATGATGTAAAATGTGAGTCTTTAATAGGAAGCAGCAAAATAGGAAACCAAATGTTTGGAAAAATGCTAAAACTTCAGTCTTCAAGCCATGTGTGGTGGATTACGCCTGTAAAGCCAGCATTTGGGATGCTGAAGGAGGAAGATCACTGCAAATTCAAGGCCAGCCTGGGCTCCATAGTGAGTTCAAGGCCAGCCTGGACTACACAGAGAGACCCCGCACAGCCTTCAAAGAAATACAAAATAAATCATGGTACCACTGTTTTCCCTATTGACTCTTTAGTAGAATATATATGTACAACACTGGGAAGGCTGTAAAATCTACGAAGATTGTTTACGACAATGTACAAAGTAAAAAGATATGGTCACAGAATTCCGATTCTGAAAAAATTTCAATACTGAGAAATTATCCAAAAATAATTCAAAGCAACAAGACAAAACACTCTGGGTGAACAAAGTTATACATTTCAACCTCATTTGTAATGGTAAAATATTGGAAGTAAACTACAGTTCAAAAAGGAGTGAAAATTCTGATATTTGTGGGCGTATGTACTTGTGGGACTGAACCCAGAGGCTTGGATTTGACCAGGGCACACTGCATACATGTGTGGAAATATCACACTGAACTCCATTAATATGTACAATTAATATGTTCTAATAAGAATAAAAGATTAAAGGAAGACAGGAAATTGCCAATTAAATACTGAGCAGTTTAAAAAGGCTGCTGAGGTTGATAATGGTTATATTATACAGAAAAACTCAAAATTAGATCGATATTTTGATTATGTAAAAAGTATAGATAATTGAGTAAGAGAAACCAAAACCCAGGATCTCTTTGAATTAGGTGGTAAGATTATGGATGTTCTCATTTATCTTTCTTTGTACCTCCAGAAATGGTTTCAGGGAGTCTTTTTATAGGAGGGGGCAGCCTTCCCCATGGTCAGCAGGAGCACAAGCCCTCATCTAGAGAAGCAAAAACCACAGCTTTCTTTAAGGAAAGAGCCGGCAAGAAATTTCCTAGGGTGCCCACCTCAAAGCACTGCTGCATGTGTACCTCAAGCTGGAATAGCCATTCTGATATTTTAATTTTAAAACATTTTGCTTTTTCTTACATATGCAATAGGAAGACGTGTCATGGATAACTTAGTTTCTGTTCACACGTTGTTTTCTATGAAAAATTTTGCACAATTAGCATCTACTTGATTGCCACGACCACTCCAGTGGAGTCTGCGTGACAATGCCGGTCACCTGGCAGAAACCAGACCCGAGGAATCGTCCCCACGGGGTTAAGCCTCCTGGAGGTCCTTGGCACACACCGCATGCGAAGTCAGCCGTGAAGAGAATAGCTGGCCTCTCTGCCTGCAGTTTGGGGACACTGGGTTCATTTATAATTCTGTTCTATTTTGTCTTTATTACTATTTGTTCATTATCTGTAGAATTGTATTCTGGGCCCAGGAAAGATCAGGAACAATTAGATGTTCCTAGAGATGGGGAGGTATTGGGGCACAAGAGCACGGGCGGCCAAAGTGCTGACCCTGAGCCCCGGACTGTGAAGTCCTGAAGGTGATCCTGAAGGTGACATGCTGAAGCCAGTCCTTTGTTTTACAAACTTCCCCTTCTGACTGCGTATAGGTGTGGTCTTACCTTGACTTAGTGGTCTTAGCTTTTGTGATGGTATATAGGTGTGGTCTCACCTTGACCTTGTGGTCTTAGCTTTTACAGTACTATTGTCTATCTTTGTCATGCCTGCCTGTGACTGGAATCACTCTTGAAGTGTGCCCTTGAAACTAGTATATATACACCTAGAGTTAGAAATAAAATTGCAGCAGCTACTACCTTCACTACTCAGTGCTGTGTGGTTTCTGACTGTTGCCGCCGAACCTGCTCCCACCTTTCTGAAGATCCCTGTTCTCCTCGTGAAATCCAGTCTTTGCTCCCCTACAGTCGGTAGCACTTGATGAATAAACATTTTATAATACAAGTATCTACACTGCAAAATCTGATAAAAATTAAGAGCCAAGGGCCATCACCCTTAATAGGCAGGATGGATTTGGGCCTGTTCTGTCCCTCTTGGGACCAGAAGGCAATACAGACAGTGACCCAAGCTTGACTCCAAAAAACACATGGTCACTCCTGGCCCTGGGGCTCCAAACTAAAGGCATCATCCTAAAATGGACCAAAAAAAAAAAAAAAAAAAACCACATGCAGCATCCCGGAAAAATAAAAGGTAACAGGGGTACCACGATGCCCAGGGAGAGCAAGCTCTAGGGAGATTCTGCGAGCCACACTCACCTCCGGGCCTGCCATTCTCTCTGCTCCCTCCTTTTCCTGGTTTGCTCCACTATCTCCTGGAGTAGGGATAAAGAGAACAAAGCACTGAGCAAAAGCACCAGGCTTTTATCCCCACAGCCTGAGGTTTCAGTTTGGTGGAAGCTGCTGGGCTCAGACCTCTGAAGGAGAAGAGGGGCCGCTTCTATGCCCCAGGCACAGCTTGTTCCTAGAGAAGGGAGGAGCTGAGGCACAGGAAGGCGGGACCCCTTCTGGCCCCTCTCACCACAGACACCATGGACAGAGGGCCAGGGCTCCATTTTGTACTCTGTGTTGGCCCACGCTAGCTGTCCATCACCACAGCACAATGGGATCCAAAACAAGTTCACACTGCCTTACACTTGAGTCATCAGGATTTACAAGAGCTAGTGTTTCTTACATTCTCCCACATGCCAGCCATGATTCGAATTTTCCATGGACAATATCATTTAATTCTCACCACAAAGGGATGGCTAGTGTAATGGTTATAAAAATCCATGGGCCTAGCCAGTTGCGTCAGATACTTCTAGATCAGCAGGTGTGGCAGTCTTGGCTTCCTACCTGATTCCTCTGACACCCCGGCAGAGAGGTTGGGATGCCTTGTTGCAGAGCAGGCAACTAAGCCCAAACTTAAGTCTTTGCTGGGTTGGATGAAAGTGTTTTCAGTGATGTTGGCTGGAGTACAGTAGTTATTGTATAAAAGTTTTTGTCTTTCAGGGCTGGTCCTTCCAGATCCTTTGGCTAGAGAGGGTAGCATTTGTTGGATATATAATATATACATTTAATATATAATATATGTGTGCGTGCATGTGTGTGTGTGTGTGTGTGTGTGTATATACATATATTTTTTTTTCTTTTTTGCACTTGGTTTTTCCAAATTGCTGGCTTCATTTGCAAGTCTGACATAGATGAGCCAAAAAGAAAACCCTGAACACATACTATTACTGTGTCCTTTCTCAGGCCCCAGGTCCCTGACTGCTCTGCTTTTGCCTCAACCTTTCAGACTCTTAATTTCTTTTACTTATACTATCCAGGAGTTTTTAGGTATACCTGGAAGACATACAGAGAAAAAGACTTCTTACTCCATACTTCTAGAAGTCTCAGGACCATGATTTTTTTTTTTTTTGAGACAGGTTCTTACTATGCAGTTCAAGGTGGCCTTGAACTTACTATGTAGCCTAGGCTGGCCTCAAACATGTAGTGATCCTCCTGCTTCAGCCTGTTCTTTCTTTCATCATGATGTGGTAATAATCACATGATTTTATACTTTTATCAAATCTCATTAAATTGCGTACTTGGTGAACTAAACAGAGATTATGTCTTAATGCGCATAATCTGTGACCTCAGCTACTTGGGAAGCTGAAGTAGGAGGCTAAAAAATGCAAGCGAAACTGTCTCCCAAAAAAAAAGTTGAACTGGAGATGTAGTTCAGTACATACTTACCTAGTATGCACAAGGGACCGAGTACAATTCCCAGCACCACAAAAAAATTAAAGAATTTTTAAAATAAAAAAAAAATATGCTTCAATAAAGCTGATTAACAAAACTGCTATGTCCTGAGATTTCTTTAATCTTCCTACAGTACATGGTACAGTCCCACCCGCTTTTTATGTATAGACAAGCCTATAGTCCCAGCACTTGGGGGGCCAAGGCAGGAGCACTGAGAGTTTGAGATTGCCATGAGCTATGTAACAAGACCCTGTCTCAAAAAACAAAACAGATTTGTTACCAAGCCACAGAGCTGAGCTGTCCTACGTTTTATTACATCCGATAGGCTCTTACAGGTAAAGAAGCTGCAGCTTGGAGAAGTCCACTAACCTATCACAAAGCCAGGGTATAGCAGAGCCCAGGGCCAGTACCCACCGGCCCTCCTCTGCCACCGTTACTCCTGGGCCCAACAGGCTCTGGGGATGACCTCTGAAAACACAGGTTACCCCAGGATGCCACAGGAGGCCCAAACATACCTCTTCTAACCGTGTGCGCTTCTCAGAAGGCTCTGACCCATCACTGTCGTTTTCCAAGTGCTCTTCATCTTCCTCTTCATCCTTAAAGAGGTCTTCATAGGCAGGAACTTCAAGGTCATCATCTTGTTTAATGAGTAATTTGATCTAAGTTTAAGACAGAAAAGCAATCAAGTCTCTTGACCCTCCTTGAAAAACAGTTCATGTGTTTTTCTCCTGTAGAATCTCATCATTTCTAATTGGCTGACTCAAGTTTTCCGTGCACACAAATAGCCACCTATCTGAGAAGTGTTCAGACTTCTTAGGGACTTCCTTGTTCCCATTACCATTCAGTGAGGCACTGGAGTGGCACCACACGGTAAGCAGAAATTATGAAAACCTCAAAAATGTTTGAAAACCAACCACATCTACTTAAGTCTGGAAAGACGGCTTCCTCTTGTGCCACAGGTTAACAAAACAAATGTCCCACAACTTGGACTCTTATGCAGGACGTGAAGATGTTGCTGTGGTCTGTCCCCACAAAGTAACATCTGCCAGAAGCTTGGTGCGATGGTGTTGACGTGCCGGAACCATTAAGAGGCAGGCTTCCTCGAAGGTGACTAGGTTTTGGCCACTCCACCCTCACAGATGGATTAACATTTTCTCTCGGGAATGGGTCAGGTCTTGGAGGAGTGGTTCCTCCCTGCAAACATGCATTGTTTCAAAGTTTCTTCAACTTACTCTCGTTTCCTATCTCAATATGGGATATCTCTCTCTCCCTCACTCCGTCTCTTTCCTTCTCATTTCATACCACCCACCACGAGGCCCTCACTACAGCCAGGCCAAGTAGATGCTATCGCCGTGTTCTTAAATTTATAGAATTGTGAGCTAAATGAAACCTCAGTTTTTTTGTTCCGTTTTGTTGAGACAAGGCCTCCCTATATAGTCCATTCTGGCTCTGACTACGTAGCTCAGGTTGGCCTCAAACTCCCAATCCTTCCTGCCTCGATTTCCCAATTGACAGGACTAAGGCACGAGTTACCATACACGATTAACCTCTTTTTTTTTAATAAGACACCCAGGCTCAGGTATTTGCTTGCTTGTAGAACTACAAAATGGACTAAGACATCTGGACTCCTATGTGAATACAACTACTATCTCTCTAAAACCAATTCCAGGCTGACTTCTCTTGAACAGGCTCCTCATACGAGAATGTAAGGGTCTCACATCTTGGTGGGTAGAAAAGTTCAAGTCAAAGAAAATTCAGCTGGCTTGCTCAGTGCTAGGTTATATACTTGATGTCCAGGGTTTCAAAGAATAAGTACAGTAGAGTTATTTTAGATCATAAAGTTCTGGTCCCTATGTCACCCAGATGAAGCAAATTTCACAACTGCATTCAGCATAAACCCGAGGGCTAGGTCGCATATCTATCATCAGAGATAGACAAGACCAGGTTCTTAGTCAGGCTACCCACAATTCCACAGGGGCACTAGACACGCGCTTCGCCAAGAATGCTAGATGCAACATTACACACAGCACAAAAAGGCACAGACAGGTTGAGGGGATGGCACACAAGAGAGGAAGCCTCAAAGGCCCGGGTACCTGGGTGTCATTGTACACATTCACAACATTGACTGGCCTGTGAGTATCACACACAAAGAATATAGTATCTTCATCAGGTTGAAGGATATCCAGTAGATCTACATTAGCTCCACAGTTGATAAGAATAAAATAGCGGAACTGAAAAAAAAAGGGAAACATTATAAAATAACTGAGTCGAGGAGGCCCCTTCCAATTTACCACAGTAGGCCTGAGTCTTTGCTGAGACACAGTTAGCCGATGCCATGTAGCAAGGCCTAGATGGACTAGCACAGGCCACAAAAGACAGCCAACTGTGCTAAGTGTTTTAACATACTCTTCTCCAAGGTGACGCTGTGAAGTAGGCTCTTTTGCTTCTCCCACTTTCTGAAGAGCATGCTGAAGCTCAACACACCCACGTGTTGTACACGGAGTCAAGAAACATACAAGGAGCAGACCTCGACTTCAAATGTGTAATGGGGCCTCCTCAGTTTTCGGTTTAGCTGGACTGTGCACCTCCCCATGCTACTAGTGTTGTACAGATTTAAGTTTTTAGCACATCACAGGGCTTCTAAATATTAAATCTTCCACCACATTCTATCACTATAGAAAAACCGTTCCTTAGAAATACTAAGCTGGCACAAATCTCTCAAGTTATGACCAAACTCCGAGGGAGAATTTACCTCTGCCAAAACAGTTCTAGAAGTGCCCAAGGACTGTAGGACCCTCTTTCATGCCCTAGCCCCTCACTCTTCCATTTCTCACTGGGCCCCATGCATGATAGGAAGTCCTGGCCCCTGTTGTTTAAATTCCAAAGGGAGAGTATTCATTTCTACATTTCAAGTTGAAAATTGGGATGCATTTTCTTAAAAAGCTAACAGAAAATAGTGATGTATTCTCAAATAATTTTAATGAAGTCTTAATAAAAATTGCTAAATTCCAAGCATCTTACAATCAAATTTCTGCAAAGAAAGTTCAAAGTTAAATGTTGTCCACATTCAATGTTTTTGTCAATTCTGGCTCCTAACTTGAAAGTGAGTCATCAGTATACACAGCATGTTTTTGTCTTCCATGTTGCCTAATGAAGTAGATACTTAATTATCTGATCAACTTGTTGAAAGTAGAAAGAATGCTAAGTACTAAGTAATTGTATTTCAGTAAAAAAATACCTTAATTATTCTAAAATGCATCTTTCATACCTGTTCTTTATGCTCAAGATATGCAGTTTCAAGTTCTTGCCACCCAGAAACTGGAACGAGTGTGTACTGCACGTGATCACACTGAAACAGAGCCTGGAGAGAGAGCATTTTCAAGTTTATCTTATTTAGTACACCTACAATGTGGTATGAAATACACACACACACACACACACACACACACACAAAATAGAGGTGTTGAAGGGGGAAAATGTGACAAAATAAAGTTACTAAATATTAATGGGAGAGGGCCGGGGATTTAGCTCAGTGATTTGGCCACCTGTCTTGCAAGTGCAAGGCCCACAGTTTGATCCTTGGTACCAAGAAAATATTAATGGGAGAAGTAGGTTTTTGGGATGTGTATGCTCGATGTACAGTTCTATGCATTTTGCTGAATTTGTGAAAACTGGTAAAGTTGATCTTAATTCCAAATGTTCTGAAAAGTTCCTGACCCAAGTTCACATTCAAAACCAAAGTAATGACTTTCCCTAGTAGACTAGAGACTCGCGTTTCCAGCACTAATGCTGACACCAGTATACTCTCCATTGTCAAAATTCCTCTCTCTCAAATGCCACATTGGAAAAAAGAAGCTCCAAAATCCTCCCAAATGAAACCATTTTTGGGTCTGGCTTCTTGAATAAAGAATCCCCTCTCCTTCTCTAACACCCAACACTGTTCAGACAGAAAGGTGAACTGAGTGTCCTTCCTCTCCTCATCTCCCGTCCTAAGCCAACCTTGCACCAACATCTCTGCTCAACACCACACTGTTCCTCACTGCTCGCCCTGGCCCGCCCTCTTAGGTCCGCAGAGCTCACCTGAAGGATTTTGCAAGCACACAGAGCGTCCACGTCCGAGGCCACAAAGAGTAGGACTCTCTGTTGGGGGAGAAAAGGGGGCGGGCTGAGCGAAGAGAGCTAAACCCTGGCTGCTCCCCAGTTTCCACGCCAACCATGGCCACTCCCCCTCATCCCTTCCCCACAGACAAGGCCTCGGCCAGGTCCCTGCACTGAGTTACCTGGCTCTGGACCAGCTCGTAGAACTCTTTGCGAAAATCGGACACGAACATAGCCTCGGAGGTCGGACGGCCAGCACTTGCACTGGGACAGCAAGAACAGGGCAGGGGTCAAGACTCCCGCCAAATCCAGGCTCTTCTGATTGGCCCACGCTACTAACCAATAGCCTCTAAAGTCTCAAACTTTCTTCTTTTCTAATTGGGCCATATTGGAGGCGGGCAATACCGCTCCACCATTCACGGCTGGAAAAATCCGCCAAATAAGCATTACGGTATTTCTGGGGTGGGCACAAACAAGTTTGCTTCCTTCCACTCTGACTCTCATTTACCCAGAAACCCTGCGTTTGCCAGACATCTTTACTTTGGTAAGAAAAGCCTACTGCTTCACACTGGGCACCCTTGGGAAAATATATTCCTAGCAATAAATTAAACTTAGTTATACGTTGATTGAGGGTGGCATTAAATTTTTCAATAGACTTTTGGTTCGGTTTGAAGGTGGGTGCGTTCTGCCCGAGTTCAAGGTAGTGAAACCAAAGGCCGGAAGGCTTTTAGATGCATTCTGGGTAATGTAGTATCTAAGTACCATGGACCCTACCAAGTTCATCTGGAGGGGGAATACTTCCAAAAATTATTTAAACTAACTTTAAAACTGTCTCTGTACAAGAAAACAAGTTATTGAAGGATATTTTAATGTTTATGTTGAGTAATTTTTAGATTCTGGGTCTTTCTGGCTTTTTTCCCTCACAGCCGACGGCCTCTGCTCCCCCTCTGTGGGTCTCAGGTCGGGCACTTCCGGTGAGGTTCGCGAGGGTCTGGGTTTCAGTAAGGCGGATGTGAAGAGTGGTTGAGATCTCCCCGGAATTCCTATTTTAACGTTCCTGAGAGAAGCGGCGTCTGCGAAGCGGTGTCCATAATGGTAAGTGCGGTTGGGCAACGGTCTGGAGCTAGGACTAAGCTTGGGTCTCAGGCTGGTGACCAGTGAGGCGGGACAGATGCCGAGTCACCGGGCCTGAGTCCGGCAGCCCGCCAGTCCCGGGCGTTTGGGCCCTGAGCCGATGGTGAACCGCGAGCCGCGTCAGTTCGCCCCCGCTGGCCTGGAACATGATTTGTGTTCCCTCTTAGCTGGGCTTGAGTTCCTCGTGTGTAGGTAGAAGAGATCGTACGTTCGTGACCAACCATGGGTCTCGAAAGTACTCGACACGTAACAGGTTTCCGTAAGCACAAAGTTAACTAGAAAGTTGGTAGGGGTAAGAGTAGGGAGCCGAAGCAGCAGGTGTCATTGTACACATTCACAACATTGACTGGCCTGTGAGTATCACACACAAAGAATATAGTATCTTCATCAGGTTGAAGGATATCCAGTAGATCTACATTAGCTCCACAGTTGATAAGAATAAAATAGCGGAACTGAAAAAAAAAGGGAAACATTATAAAATAACTGAGTCGAGGAGGCCCCTTCCAATTTACCACAGTAGGCCTGAGTCTTTGCTGAGACACAGTTAGCCGATGCCATGTAGCAAGGCCTAGATGGACTAGCACAGGCCACAAAAGACAGCCAACTGTGCTAAGTGTTTTAACATACTCTTCTCCAAGGTGACGCTGTGAAGTAGGCTCTTTTGCTTCTCCCACTTTCTGAAGAGCATGCTGAAGCTCAACACACCCACGTGTTGTACACGGAGTCAAGAAACATACAAGGAGCAGACCTCGACTTCAAATGTGTAATGGGGCCTCCTCAGTTTTCGGTTTAGCTGGACTGTGCACCTCCCCATGCTACTAGTGTTGTACAGATTTAAGTTTTTAGCACATCACAGGGCTTCTAAATATTAAATCTTCCACCACATTCTATCACTATAGAAAAACCGTTCCTTAGAAATACTAAGCTGGCACAAATCTCTCAAGTTATGACCAAACTCCGAGGGAGAATTTACCTCTGCCAAAACAGTTCTAGAAGTGCCCAAGGACTGTAGGACCCTCTTTCATGCCCTAGCCCCTCACTCTTCCATTTCTCACTGGGCCCCATGCATGATAGGAAGTCCTGGCCCCTGTTGTTTAAATTCCAAAGGGAGAGTATTCATTTCTACATTTCAAGTTGAAAATTGGGATGCATTTTCTTAAAAAGCTAACAGAAAATAGTGATGTATTCTCAAATAATTTTAATGAAGTCTTAATAAAAATTGCTAAATTCCAAGCATCTTACAATCAAATTTCTGCAAAGAAAGTTCAAAGTTAAATGTTGTCCACATTCAATGTTTTTGTCAATTCTGGCTCCTAACTTGAAAGTGAGTCATCAGTATACACAGCATGTTTTTGTCTTCCATGTTGCCTAATGAAGTAGATACTTAATTATCTGATCAACTTGTTGAAAGTAGAAAGAATGCTAAGTACTAAGTAATTGTATTTCAGTAAAAAAATACCTTAATTATTCTAAAATGCATCTTTCATACCTGTTCTTTATGCTCAAGATATGCAGTTTCAAGTTCTTGCCACCCAGAAACTGGAACGAGTGTGTACTGCACGTGATCACACTGAAACAGAGCCTGGAGAGAGAGCATTTTCAAGTTTATCTTATTTAGTACACCTACAATGTGGTATGAAATACACACACACACACACACACACACACACACAAAATAGAGGTGTTGAAGGGGGAAAATGTGACAAAATAAAGTTACTAAATATTAATGGGAGAGGGCCGGGGATTTAGCTCAGTGATTTGGCCACCTGTCTTGCAAGTGCAAGGCCCACAGTTTGATCCTTGGTACCAAGAAAATATTAATGGGAGAAGTAGGTTTTTGGGATGTGTATGCTCGATGTACAGTTCTATGCATTTTGCTGAATTTGTGAAAACTGGTAAAGTTGATCTTAATTCCAAATGTTCTGAAAAGTTCCTGACCCAAGTTCACATTCAAAACCAAAGTAATGACTTTCCCTAGTAGACTAGAGACTCGCGTTTCCAGCACTAATGCTGACACCAGTATACTCTCCATTGTCAAAATTCCTCTCTCTCAAATGCCACATTGGAAAAAAGAAGCTCCAAAATCCTCCCAAATGAAACCATTTTTGGGTCTGGCTTCTTGAATAAAGAATCCCCTCTCCTTCTCTAACACCCAACACTGTTCAGACAGAAAGGTGAACTGAGTGTCCTTCCTCTCCTCATCTCCCGTCCTAAGCCAACCTTGCACCAACATCTCTGCTCAACACCACACTGTTCCTCACTGCTCGCCCTGGCCCGCCCTCTTAGGTCCGCAGAGCTCACCTGAAGGATTTTGCAAGCACACAGAGCGTCCACGTCCGAGGCCACAAAGAGTAGGACTCTCTGTTGGGGGAGAAAAGGGGGCGGGCTGAGCGAAGAGAGCTAAACCCTGGCTGCTCCCCAGTTTCCACGCCAACCATGGCCACTCCCCCTCATCCCTTCCCCACAGACAAGGCCTCGGCCAGGTCCCTGCACTGAGTTACCTGGCTCTGGACCAGCTCGTAGAACTCTTTGCGAAAATCGGACACGAACATAGCCTCGGAGGTCGGACGGCCAGCACTTGCACTGGGACAGCAAGAACAGGGCAGGGGTCAAGACTCCCGCCAAATCCAGGCTCTTCTGATTGGCCCACGCTACTAACCAATAGCCTCTAAAGTCTCAAACTTTCTTCTTTTCTAATTGGGCCATATTGGAGGCGGGCAATACCGCTCCACCATTCACGGCTGGAAAAATCCGCCAAATAAGCATTACGGTATTTCTGGGGTGGGCACAAACAAGTTTGCTTCCTTCCACTCTGACTCTCATTTACCCAGAAACCCTGCGTTTGCCAGACATCTTTACTTTGGTAAGAAAAGCCTACTGCTTCACACTGGGCACCCTTGGGAAAATATATTCCTAGCAATAAATTAAACTTAGTTATACGTTGATTGAGGGTGGCATTAAATTTTTCAATAGACTTTTGGTTCGGTTTGAAGGTGGGTGCGTTCTGCCCGAGTTCAAGGTAGTGAAACCAAAGGCCGGAAGGCTTTTAGATGCATTCTGGGTAATGTAGTATCTAAGTACCATGGACCCTACCAAGTTCATCTGGAGGGGGAATACTTCCAAAAATTATTTAAACTAACTTTAAAACTGTCTCTGTACAAGAAAACAAGTTATTGAAGGATATTTTAATGTTTATGTTGAGTAATTTTTAGATTCTGGGTCTTTCTGGCTTTTTTCCCTCACAGCCGACGGCCTCTGCTCCCCCTCTGTGGGTCTCAGGTCGGGCACTTCCGGTGAGGTTCGCGAGGGTCTGGGTTTCAGTAAGGCGGATGTGAAGAGTGGTTGAGATCTCCCCGGAATTCCTATTTTAACGTTCCTGAGAGAAGCGGCGTCTGCGAAGCGGTGTCCATAATGGTAAGTGCGGTTGGGCAACGGTCTGGAGCTAGGACTAAGCTTGGGTCTCAGGCTGGTGACCAGTGAGGCGGGACAGATGCCGAGTCACCGGGCCTGAGTCCGGCAGCCCGCCAGTCCCGGGCGTTTGGGCCCTGAGCCGATGGTGAACCGCGAGCCGCGTCAGTTCGCCCCCGCTGGCCTGGAACATGATTTGTGTTCCCTCTTAGCTGGGCTTGAGTTCCTCGTGTGTAGGTAGAAGAGATCGTACGTTCGTGACCAACCATGGGTCTCGAAAGTACTCGACACGTAACAGGTTTCCGTAAGCACAAAGTTAACTAGAAAGTTGGTAGGGGTAAGAGTAGGGAGCCGAAGCAGCCGCTCCCCAGGGAGAATCCGCAGGAGGAATCTCCGTGGGTCGCAAGAGCATCCAGCTGTTTGCCCCAGTTCGGTCAGCTCTGTTCATCTGGATTCCTACCTTCGGATATACATAGTTGTGTTTAGTAGTGCTGATCTTACTAATATTTTCTGACTCTTTTCTGTCGTACCTGTAGTTCCTCAGCACATTTTGCCCCCTTTAATCTCTACAGCCCCCTTCAGGGAAAAATGATTATTGTCGTCTTTCACTAGAGGAAACTACAGTTTTCAGAGGTAGTTTACTCCAGGTCACAAAAGTGAGGAATGGAGATTTGAAGCCAAAACTGTTTGACTGCAGTAAAAGACATGCGGTCAGAAGTAAGCAGGAAGGGACAGGTCAGGTTCATGTGAAAATGAACTGGAGGTGGCGTGTTAAGGG